GTTTAAAAAAAAGAACGAAGATTTAATGCAACCCCTTTTGAAAACAGAAGGACGTTCGCACTTTTTGTCCTTTCACACCACTATCTCGCCGCCTAGTTTCAGCTATGCCACTATTTGTTTAGGCGAAATTTCCAGTTTCATCTGGGAAGTAGTGAACCGTGCTGGCTTGTTAGAAACAGTTAACCGATAGTTTGGGGCGAAAGAACTGATAAAATCAGTTCTGATGGTGCTAAAACTGGCTTGTCCAGTTCCGGAGCGCAAAAAGTGAAATATCTTCTTTTGAGGAGTAAAAACCGATGCACCCATCCCTGAGATTCTAAAACTGTCAGACCTAATTTTGGACTATAAAGCCTGATGCGCCTGATATATTCGGTCTACAAAAGAAGCTTCCTCTGAGGCGTAAGAAAGGATATTGACCTCACTACGGACAATAATTATAATAGTAATTATTATTTTTATAGCAATAAATAATAACAATAATAGCCGCTCAAAAACCTATAGCCTACCACAATTTAAATGATAATAAAATGTGATTTTTTAAGGTAACAGTATGAGCAAAACAAATATTTTTTATAGGAAAAGGAGGATAAGGATGACTAATTTGAAAGATAGAAATACATATGCTTTTTTTCCAAACAAACCCACGGCGTATACCATTACCTCATTATTTACGGATTTCGAGCGTATACGTGCCATGATGCGCATAACCTTGCACCTCACATTTAAAAGTTTTTAGATTTTTACGATCCGTCACAAACAGGTGTTAGAATCAGAAGCAGTGGCCTACGATAACAAAATGCTTGTATTCGTAAAGGTTCGTTCGCGGTTTTTTCTGGAAAAAAACTTTTGAACTTTTCAGTCAAATTCTTTAAAATTAAATTAGGGAAATCAAATAAAATTCAATGTTCAAAAAATTTTTCGAGAAAACTTTAAAAAATCAGGAAAAAACTTCAATCTTCAAGAAATGAGTTTGCTGACTTTTAGGCTTCGAAAACTCCATTAAATTTTCACATATTTCACTCGAAAGAGAAGCAATTGACAGTCTTATCAGCGAGTAATTGATGTTAACATGTGTTACTCGCTATGCATCTAGGAGCCTCGTTTAGAGTTAAAAAAGGAAGATTTATTGTCGCGTCCTTTATACTGTGGGGTCATAAACTGTTTACAGTTTCTGCAACATCTGTATTTGACTACAACTTTATACTCTAATCTCGGGTAGGCAAACAAAACCCAAGAGTAACGCGAAAAGCGCTTCAATCACCTCATTACCTCTTCCACTGCATTAATTGCGTCTGACATAATTGTAAAGCAACGTACAGGATATCAGAGTGACTAAGCAAGAAAGTAAAATCCGATGGGCAGGGCAAGTTGCTCGCGTTGCCGGCAACCAGTGGACGTCGCGCATTAGTGAGTGATAACTTATAAGAAAATAATCACTCAGGCGCAGTGGCAACGTACATAGTCAAACAGTGGGTGGTTGCTAACCGAGAATATGCAGTCTAAGATTATGGAGCCTGGTGTAGTCGCTCACAGCCCCAAAAACTGCTTTCACTGGTGGATGTGGCATTTGGTTGTTTTATTCATGTGCAAATTTAAGTAAGAGATATATTTCAAACGTGGGCCTTTAACTATGGTACTTTCGAGATTGCGTGAAGTGGTTCTGGGGCAGGAAGTGAGTCTATGCGCTCAGACAGTGAGAAAATTGAGGATGGAGGGAAATTAACACATTTGCAGATAATGGAGGGAAAAACAATTTCCAAACACAATGAAATATTGTCAGTGGAAATCCAACCAACCGATACGGTGAAGTCACTGTGGAGGGAGATTGCTGCTGAAGAAATGATGAGAATGTACGATCTCGAAAACGCTAAATTGTTGTTGCACGGTAAATTTTGCTCCTCACAATATTGCTCTAAAACCGAAGACGGCTAAACCGCGGATGTCTCAGGAGATAGTACTTTCCGTACTCTGAAAACTTCTCCTGGAATTCCACAAATAAAGATGAGGTTATAAATTTTTCTTAGCATTTCAAGAGGTACTCTCCGCATAAAGCTGATCGATTTGAAGATTTTTTGGCGCTTGCTTTTGCTTTAAATTTAATTTCTACTCGTTTCCTCGATAATTCATTTTTATGCGGGTTTTATTTATTTCTTACTTTTTTTCTTTTGCAAAACTGAGGTAACTTTTACTCTAAATTTAATTCACACTAGTTTCCTCGGTTATTCATTTTTATGCGGCTTTTATTTTTATTTTTTTTGCAAATGAGGTAACAGATGAAAAATCGTAAGGTAAAAGCACGAAATTATGTTGTCCCAGTCCAGCAAATTTCCTACTACTGAGCAGTTATTGAGGCAGTTCATTCCGCAGCGGAAAAATGGTGGGAGCTCAGAGGTCATGAGGTGTGAAATGTAAGCAGCATGTTTGCTAAATTTTGTTCTGACAGCTACCGGCTTGTACAGTTTTGGCCGTATGGTCTTGGGAAAGTAAGAGAGTTCGAACAGAAGCGAATGCCCGGTCTGTTCCGGTACTGATAAGCCGTTTTTGTATCTTTCATGAGTCTGATGACTGTTCTCTTATGTCGAAGAAAAAAAACATAGTCGCTTCGGCTTCAGGATATGTAGTGCCTCGTAGCTCCGCCCGCGCTTATCCTCAGAACATGGTCGTGGTTCCCCCGTCCCTTCCTCCTCCTCCCCTTCCCCCCGCTCCCCTTCCGCGGCTTTCCCGTGTTAGCTGTTCTCCTGCTGTCCGCCTGCCCCATCCCCTTCTCACTTCTGCCCTTGTTAGCAATTCGAAACGGTTGAAAACGAAAACAAATAGATAATGAATACGTATTACGTAAAAAGATAGATAATGACGAGTCGTGTGATTATATGTTGAAAATCCCATAACATCCTACTGTGTTATGTTGCAGGAGTTGAGTTGGACGATAACAAGACGATTAAAGAGTCCGGTGTCGAAGAGGGAGCGTTTCTTTGCTTGGAAGTATAAGAGCATGTAAATGATTGTCTTATTGTTGTAATTTAGTGGAATTTGAAAAAGCGAACAGTATCAGTGTTTATTGCTATCCCCAGTGAACGATTTAATGCCTCCACTTCTCAGAGACAGAGAGAGAGACAATACGGAGAGGATTTTGTCATTTGATTTTTGATGTTCGAAGGAACTCAACAAAAATATTTTAACAGACACGGAAAGCCGGTTTTTATTACAGATCCAGAAAAACAAGCATATTCTACAGTTCTGGAACAGCACAAAAACGAAGATACAGAGAGTAACACGTGAAATAAACAATTTGACAGAAACTAGCACCCATTCCAGGAAATTTGCCTCTTTCAGATCCAGAAAACCCTTTTTCACAAATCCAGAATGCAATAAAGACCGAAGATACATAGAATGGCGGGTTTGTTATTTCAAATGAAACTCGACAGAAATGTTTCTTACAGGCCTGGGGATTCCAGTTTGTTTTAAAGATTCGTAATATACAAAAACTGAACATTTTGAGACTGACAATGAACTATTTGTTATTTTAAATGAATTTAAAAATTTTTCATAAAAATTCAATGTACAGTGATTTTGTTACAAATCTATAATATCAAGAAAATCGACTGAGTGACAGAGAGGAAGACGACAGAATTATAACAGCATTATTGTTACAGTAACATTACTGTAATTACAGTGCTAGCGTTGCCATTACAGTAATATCATTTTATTACGGTAGTAAGGGCCCAACCTACACTAATATTTACAGGCTTCGTTTACAGTAATCTACACAGTTTTTATTTACAGTATGCTTTAAAGCTTTTCCTTACAGTATGCTCCACAGTCTTCAGCAGTATTCCCTACAGTCTTTTTTACAGTTTACTCTGTACTGTCTTTCCTCAAAGTGTGTTCTACGGTTTTTCCACAGTATTTTCTACTGCTGCATTTTAAAAGGTTTTAAAATCCGCCGAATTATACAGACTTTTTTCGCGCTAACTTATAAAAACGCTCCTTTAACACTCTTCTTGCTCCATAGTTTTTTCCTCTTCGGATTATTTTCACTGTTACGTTCTGTTTAAAATTAATTAGTGTACTAATCTAAATCCACTGAAATATGCACTGTTTAAGACTTTCTACAAAACGTGCTAATTTTTGGCGCCTGGTCTCGCTTTTCCTGAGCGCTGGCGTTTTTTGGGCGGTTCCTGCTCCTCCGCTACATTTTCAACTCCCTCGCCAATCTCCTCATTCTCCTCACCCAATTCTTCCGTTCTCTGTCGCAGTAATTCAGCATCTATACGGAAATCACGGACACCAATAGTATTGTTTCGAACTTGCACATCCAATCGTTCGTCGTGTAAAGCCGAACACAGAAGCAGCAAATTGGCCTTAAAATTTCACAAAAATAACGGTTTGAAAGACGATAAATCAAAAACCTCGAATTAAAAAGACCGGACAAGCCAAACTACGATTATCAAGGGTGGGTATCCTCTGTTAGTAATGTTACAGGACTGTTCCCGTATGCTATTCGCAAATTAGTACTGGAAAAAGCATGAATCCTTCGGCAAGCGTATAAAATAACAAACCTGATAAGTCTCTCGAATTCGTACATAAGCCACGTACAGCGTCTCATCTTTCTGTGTTTTCGACACTTTACGACTGTGACTGATTTGTGGCTCCTGCAATAGTTGATAAAGCGAAAAAAAAAAAAAATTCCAAAGTAAAAAAGCTGACTTTTCCGTCTAATAAAGTGAAAATTTTCTGAAAACGATAAGCTACAAGCATCACACTGGTTATTTTGTGGGCGATATTTCTGTTAAACTCCCACAGAAACCCTCAGGATTCCCACATCTCTACGATTATTCTCAGATCAATTACCAAAATTCTCACGTATCGACTCCCACTTTACTAGAATATTCTTTCGATTATTATTATCAAAAAAAACGCGATTATTATGCGATTGTTTTGATTATTATTATTATTATTATTATTATTATTATTATTAT